CTCTTCATATATTTTAAGCAGAATTCACAGATGTATATTTTCCGAAGCCGCTGAAATTCCTCAGGATATGGAGAAGAGTACCATGTGTCAATCTCAAATGAACCAAATTCAATACAGCGACATCCATTTCTATTGTTTAACGGCAACAGCTCCTGACAAAAAAAAAAAATGACATGATGATACCAGAGTATCACTAGAAACCTACTGTGGAAGGTTTGCGCCCATGAGTCATTTGAGTTACCCTGCGATCGTCCGGGAGAATGTAGCCCTAAATAGGACTGTTTTTGACACTGACGGACGTTTTGACAACCTGTGAGGTAGTCATCTTCAGTGTCAAAGTGAGTGGTATCAAGGCAGTTGATGGTATTTAACTCTAGTCTTTTAACCTGATTGGTCAATCAGTTGCAATGTTATTGGTTGTCTGTCAGTTAAGCCGTGATGGCTATGAAGACCCAATGTTATTGGTGCATTTCGATCTGTCTATTGTCACAGTTAAACAGTCATTTATTGTTTGTGAAATCGTCGGTTGTTCAGTCATTCTCCCATAGTTAGTTTTGCTGAATCCGTCAGTGAGTCGTTTGTATGGTGCTGGTTACTGTTGACTACGATTCAGTAGCGCTTAGAGTGAATGAATGAATGACTTGTTTAAGGATGCCTTCCACAGCCTACAGCTGAATTGCAGGTACAGGTCAGTTACATAAACAGTAAACAACTAACACACTAAGCGGCAGCATAATTAATTCAAGGTAACAAAATTAGCAAGACGATCAGTATTAGATGGCAACAAGGTAAATGATTGATTTGAACGTGAACAGTAAGCTGAAAATAAGTAAGCAATTGTGTTCTGAATTAATTATTAGTGCATCACTGATGACACCATAGCAATCCCTAACTCAGCAGAAATTCGCAGAGAAAAGATTGTGAAAAGTTTATCCAATAATGTTATGCCATGCTTCTCTTTTTAGGAAGAAATGAAAAAAAAAAATATTATAATAATATTAATAATAGTAGGAAGAAGAAGAAGAAGAACAAGAAGAAGAAGAAGAAATAAATACATGTTTTTGATAGGTCAGTAGAGGTTATCGCATTTATGGCCATGCAGAGATACAAAATTTCTCTTCAAGTGTTGAAATTATTTTTCAACATGAGAGCGAAATTTGGTATCTCCAAAGCGGCTATGTAATGTCCTTTTTATTATATAAACACCAATGAAATACCAAACCATTTCACTTTAATCTTTTGTTGCTGTGAAAGGCCGATTTACCGTGTAACTATTAATAATAGCAATGGTGATCTTTTTTTTTTCTTTTTAATAAACAATATTATTTTATTGCAACATTTGCTCTAAGAGCCTAAAGGGCTCACCTAGGGAGCTTACCTGTAAAGATACAGTGTACATGTATCATGTTTTTGCACGAAAGCTCACCTGGTACAGTGTATTTCATTAGTGGTTATATAATAAAACCAAATTTATTGTTTTCACTTGTGAGACGTTTTCATCCTTTTTATATTAGTGCACTAGAATGAACCAACTAGGATTCCAGTTCAAGAGCTCTTTCCTTTCTGCATGAAATTACAATAATTGTGACAAAAAACAAAACCTCACTTCTTCATTGGCCTGTATAGCTTTTGCCCAAGCATCTTTGAACATTTTCAAGTCATCTTCTGAAGTTATCTTTTTAAGTGCCTCTTCATCTAGGTTATCCAATACTGCCATGCCATTAGTATATGAGTCACTTGGTCGTTCAGCAGCTGCACTGGACACATGGTCTTTGGATATGGCATTACCAGTGCTTGTTTGCCCATGAGTTTTCCTTATGTTGTGTTCTTCTGGTGTTATTTCTTTGCTTGTGACGGCAGCACGGATCTTTTCTGGCATGAAGGACAGCTGGACCTACAGGAATACATGTACATAATTATACTGTGGAACCTTGATATAATGTAACGAAGGGCCAAGGGACTAGCAAAATTTTTTCGCTTTAAAGAGGTTTCATTATATTGAGGCTGTTTTTCATATACCGTATTTATTCGATTAACTGAACTGGGCGCTTATTAAATTTTTGGACCTTGAGAGTGGGTGCTTACTCGAGGTGGGCGCTTATTCAAGGCTGGGTGCTTATTAAATTTTCACCATTTTCAACAAGTGTAGTATGTATATTTTGCAAGAAAACAGTAAATGGTAATAACACAATGCGAAGATGTAACAAAGCAAGGTTTCTGCAAAACACTCTTATGAAAACTCCGTCTTGGGGGAAGTCTCAAATTAGTACTTATTCCTTTTTTTTGGTGGTAGCAGGAAGGGAGCAGGCACTTATTTGAGTTTAAGTGGGAGTGGGAGTGGGAGGGAGGTGGGGTGGGGTGGGGTGGGCGCTTACCGGTATTTGTCTCTTCATATATTTTAAGCAGAATTCACAGATGTATATTTTCCGAAGCCGCTGAAATTCCTCAGGATATGGAGAAGAGTACCATGTGTCAATCTCAAATGAACCAAATTCAATACAGCGACATCCATTTCTGTTGTTTAACGGCAACAGCTCCTGACAAAAAAAAATGACACGACAATACTAGAGTATCACTAGAAACCTACTGTGGAAGGTTTGAACCCAGGAGTCATTTGAGTTACCCTGCGATCATCTGGGAGAATGTAGCCCTAAATAGGACTGTTGTTAACACTGACAGACGTTTTGAGAACCTGTGAGGTAGTCATCTTCATTGTCAAAGTGAGTGGTATCATGTCAGTTGATGGTATTAAACTCTGGTCTCTTAACCTGATTGGTCAATCAGTCGCAATGTCATTTGTCGTCTGTCAGTTTTAAAAGCCGTTACGGCTATGAAGACTCAATGTTATTGGTGTGTTTCAATCCGTCTATTGTCACAGTTAAACAGTCGTTTAATGTTTGTCAAATCGTCGCTTGTCCAGTTATTCTCCCATAGTTAGTTTTGCTGAATCCGTCAATGAGTCGTTTGTATAGTGCTGGTAACTCTTGACTACGATTCAGTGGCATCTAGAGTGAATGAATGAATGAATGACTTGTTTAAGGATGCCTTCTGCAGCCTACAGCTGAATTGCAGGTACAGGTCAGTTACATAAACAGTAAATAACTAAAAACACTAAGCGGCAGCATAATTATTTCACAGTAACAAAATTAGCAAGACGATCAGTATTAGATGGCAACGAGGTAAATGATCGATTTGAATGTGAACAGTAAGCTGAAGATAAGTGAGCAATTCTGCTCTGAATTAATAATTATTATTAGTCCATCACTGATGAAACCATAGCAATCCCTGACTCAGCAGAAATTCACAAAGAAAAGATAGTGAAAAGTTTATCCAACAATGTTATGCCATGCTTTTCTTTTTCGGAAGAGATGGAAAAAAATAGGAAGAAGAGGAAGAAGAAGAAGAAGAAGAAGAAGAAGAAGAAGAAATAAATACATGTTTTTGACACCTGTAATGAGAAAATCAACAAAGCATCCAGATATAGGTAATTCAATAGAGGATATCACATGTATGGCCATGCAGAGATACGAAATTTCTCTTCAAGTGTTGAAATAAAAAAAATTATATTTTTCAACATGAGAGAGAAATTTGGTATCTCCAAAGCCGCCACAATGTAATGTTCTTTTTATAATATAAACACCAATGAAATACCAAACCATTTCACTTTAATGTTTTGTTGCTGTGAAAGGTGCATGTTATCAAGTAACAATTAATAATAGTAACGGTGATCTTTTAATTTTTTTACCTTTTTAATAAACAATATTTATTGCAACATTTGCTCTAAGAGCCTAAAGGGCTCATCTAGAGAGCTTACCTGTAAAGATACAGTGTACATGTATCATGTTTTTGCACGAAAGTTCACCTGGTACAGTGTATTTCATTAGTGGTTATATAATAAAACCAAATTTATTGTTTTCACTTGTGAGATGTTTTCATCCTTTTTATATTAGTGCACTAAAATGAACCAACTAGGATTTCAGTCCAAGAGCTCTTTCTATTCTGCATGAAATATATACAATAATTACGACAAAAAACAAAACCTCACTTCTTCATTGGCCTGTATAGCTTTTGCCCAAGTATCTTTGAACATTTTCAAGTCATCTTCTGAAGTTATTTTTTTAAGTGCCTCTTCATCTAGGTTATCCAATACTGCCATGCCATTAGTATATGAGTCACTTGCTCGTTCAGCAGCTGCACTGGACACATGGTCTTTGGATATGACATTACCAGTGCTTGTTTGCCCGTGAGTTTTCCTTATGTTGTGTTCTTCTGGTGTTATTTCTTTGCTTGTGACGGCAGCACGGATCTTTTCTGGCATGAAGGACAGCTGGACCTACAGGAATAAATGTACATAATTATACTGTGGAACCTTGATATAATGTAACGAAGGGCCAAGGGACTAGCAAAATTTTTTCACTTCAAAGAGGTTTCATTATATTGAGGCTGTTTTTCATATACCGTATTTATTCGATTAACTGAACTGGGTGCTTATTAAATTTTTGGACCTTGAGAGTGGGTGCTTACTCGAGGAGGGCGCTTATTCGAGGCTGGGTGATAATTAAATTTTCACCATTTTCAACAAGTGTATTATGTATATTTTGCAAGAAAACAGTAAATGGTAATAACACAATGCGAAGATGTAACAAAGCAAGGTTTCTACAAAACACTCTTAAGAAAACTCCCTCTTGGGGGAAGTCTCAAGTTACTACTTATTCCTTTTTTTTTGAGTGGTAGCGGGAAGGGAGTGGGCACTTATTTGAGTTTACATGTAAGTGAGAGTGGGAGGGAGGTGGGGTGGGCACTTATTTGAGGCTGGGTGTCTATTAACGTTTTCTGCCTTTAGTATGGGTGCTTATTTGAGGTGGGTGCTAATTCGAGGTTGGGCGCTTATTCGAATAAATACGGTACATGTATATTACTATGACTGGGACAAAGAAAATCGTTTATTATACTGAGGACTTCGTTAGATAGAGTTTCATTATATAAAGGTGCCAACCACAAGAGATCTAAAATCTGGAGACTGTCTTTTTACACTGTATGCAATACCCATCCCCATATCAATCCCCCTCCCCCCACCTCCCCCAACAAAATCAGAAATCCACCCAATCCCCAAATAACATGGCTGTGGCTTAGGACATAATAAAAAGTTTAACATGAACTGCAGAGCATAAAAATTTGCCTTTATGACGATAATAATACAAACTGTACTGTTGCCAGTGATGAAAGACATGCAAAATTGCTGCAGAAACCACAGTAAGATCAAAAGCATGTTTTAATTTTGGGAGGAAAGGGCTCAAATTTAAACTCATGCACAGAAAAGATCCAAGCAAGACTCCCAAATACATGTGATCTATGTGCATAGGTACAGAGTATTAAAAAATGGCTATTTATCATTATTATTATTATTATTATTACTATTTATTGATTGATTTTTTAACTCTAATACTGGACATCCATAAAGGATACAGACACCCATGGATTGATAAAACCTTGATCTACAATGTAAGTGGAGGGCATTTAAGATCACGTAAAGTTAATGTTGCAGTGCCTTTAGCTAGGCTTTAAATTAGAGCCCAACTAAAACATGACAACAAAATATGCGACGTACAGGAGGAAACACTACTTCACAACTGGTGTGGTGGATGACTTCCATAGTGTGAACATAAAGCCTTACTTATCTGCCCAGCACTATTTTATATGCTATATCCTTGCTGGATCAGACATTTTCAGGTAGGTCCAAAAGAAACAAACTTTAATATGACCTAATACTCCACGGCTCTACATGTACAAGCTAAAACCTCTGGCCAGCATCATGCAACTTACCTATACCTGGATAAGACCTTGATCCACAATGTAAGTGGAGTGCATTTAAGTTCATGTACATGTACAGTGTATCAACATCTACTTATTTGTTTCGCCTCATTAGTTACCATCATCAGTTGTAAGTTCATATTATACTGACCTTGCTTCTGAGAGTTTTCTTGGGAAGAACCTTTGGTGATGTGCTAGCTCTAGTCTTTCGCACTTTTGAAGGTTCCAGTGTGGTGCCCACTTCCTTCTCTTTTTCTTTCGCTTTCTCCTGTGGGAAAATCAAAATTAAAACCTCAGTTCAAATTCTACACTGTATTTTAAATTATTTAATTTGGTTATGGTTATATAAGATTTAATGAGTTTGAAGCAAAGGAAAAAAAATTGAATCAAAGATGAAATATATTGAATCACAAAATAACAAACACAGTCTTCACCTTATGCAAGTCGCTTTTATCGCAGATCATTCACCTGTATTGATGTGTATGTCCTAAGAGAATAGTTCCAGATGAAAAGCTTGAACTTCAGTGAGTTCGTGATCACAAAAGACACTTGTCTCACGAGAAACAAGGTGACACTGGTGACTTACTTTTTAGTGGTACTGTACATGTACTTTGAGCCACAGGTGCTTATAAACAGTGGGATTATTCAATTCTTGTGGACAAGAATCTCTCCAAAGACCCAATATTTACAATATACATGTACATGTACACTGTATAAACAAAATCGCTCAAAAATAAGTTACCACCCTCTTAAGATGGTTAAAAACTTGTAAGTGTCAAGTTTCCAAAACAATACAGCATACAGGTACATGCATTCATCACCCAACAGCTATGTGATGTACTATTGATTAACGCAAACCAACGTAAGAAGACGACAGTACAATACTACAAAACCTGTTGGTCTTTCAGTATGATGCTTGTCAAATTTGCCTGTCATGTGACCCTTTCCATCACAGCCAGGTGTGGGGCATGGTTGAAATCTCTTTGAAGAAGACTTCCACTGTCCTTTTAACTTGGTCTTATGTGGGGGGCTAGGTGTTCTTTCTAATTCAACATCAGTTTGAGATGTCTCACTTTCTGAGTGTATAATCTTTGGCCTGCCACGCTTTTTCTTAACAACCTCTGAGATATCTGGCTGTAAAATCATATCACCATTGTTCAATAATGAACACTCGTGACACATTTTGAGAGCAGGTTTTACACCCTTCAATTTAAGAGTAACACATGTTGAGTGAAATCCTCTGTCACAGCTGCTACAAGATTCCAGCTCTCCCTATAGAATGTAATATTGAAAGCAAACATGTAACTTTTGTCAACTGATTGTACATGATTGTACAAAGGGTCTCTCATGATGGGAGAAGTTGCACATAAACACTTAATCTTTATTTAAGCTTTGTGATGCCTGTTTAATCTTTTAAGCCCTACAATGTAAGAGTGATCATCACCAAATTTCTCATAATAAAATATAAATGCTTTACAAAACAAATTGGCGGTGGGAATAAAGCACATGATTACACAAGAGGAATCTACAGTGTAATTGATACCATAAATTCTATATTAGGTCCCTCAGGGGGCTTATTTATTTCAAGCCCATTTGAGGGGGAGCTTAATAGAGATGGGGAGAGGGGGAGGGGGGGCTTATTTAATTTAGAAACAATGATGGTATCAGTTCTCCATAAACGAACTAGAAAAGCTAGAAAAGCTCAAGTAAAGAAGTTTTAGGTCATGAAGCCGATGATCAGAATCAAATCCGAACTTCCAGTTGGTAAATAAACCATCACAGATCAGTCCACACAAATTAAAGTTTTAAACAGTCGTGTTTGATTAATACAGACTATTTATTAGTGAAGAATAAGTAGGAGAGGAGAGGGAGGGCGACTTAATAGAGAGGAGGCTTATTAACTTTCTTCCCCTGAAAAGGGAGGGGGAGTGGTATTAGAGGGAGGGGGCTTATTTGAAAGGAGCGGCTTAATAGAGGGTTTATGGTACTTCAATAAATTAATACCCTCCATTACTTCAATCTATAGGAAACATATAGGCCGGGGCAACAAATGAGAATCTGAATTGTGATAACAGGGTTTAAAGGGTTATGAGATACAATCATGTATTAGTCTGGTTCTCACCTCACCATGAACTGCCTTACACAAGCAACAGAATTTACACTTGTAGCAGAACCATGAAGAGCTGTCCAACAAGGGGCAAGAATCTTTGAAAAGGTTCAGACACAACTTGTGAGCTAGACAGAAGGAAGAGCAAGTTAAGAGCAAGGAGAAAGAGTTAATAATAATGTGGTCAAAATTCAAAGTAAANATCTCTTTGAAGAGGACTTCCACTGTCCTTTTAACTTGGTCTTATGTGGGGTGCTAGGTGTTCTTTCTAATTCAACATCAGTTTGAGATGTCTCACTTTCTGAGTGTATAATCTTTGGCCTGCCACGCTTTTTCTTAACAACCTCTGAGATATCTGGCTGTAAAATCATATCGCTATTGTTCACTAATGAACACTCGTGACACATTTTGAGAGCAGGTTTTACACCCTTCAATTTAAGAGTAACACATGTTGAGTGAAATCCTCGGTCACAGCTGCTACAAGATTCCAGCTCTCCCTGTTGAATGTAATATTAAAAGTAAACATGTAACTTTTCTCAACTGATTGTACAGGATTGTACAAAGGGTCTCTTGGTGGAAGATGGGAGAAGTTGAACATAAACATTTTGCTTAATCTTTATTTAAGCTTTGTGATGCTGTTTATTCCCTTAAGCCCTACAATGTAAGAGTGATCATCACCAAATTTCTCATAGAAAAATATGAATGCTGGACAAAACAAATTGGTGATGGGAATAAAGCAAATGATTACACAAGAGGAATCTACAGTGTAATAAATTGATATCGTAACTCCTATATTAAGTCCCTCAAGGGGCTTATTTATTTCAAGTCCATTTGAGGGGGAGCTTAATAGAGATGGGGGGGGGGAGGGGGGCCTATTTAATTTAGAAACAATGATGGTATCAGTTCTCCATAACGAACTAGAATACAAAGTAGAAAAGCTCAAGTAAAGAAGTTTTAGGTCATGAAGCCGATGATCAGAATCAAATCCGAACTTCCAGTTGATAAATAATCCATCACAGATCAGTTCACACAAAGTTTTAAACAGTCGTGTTTGATTAATACAGACCATTTATTAGTGAAGAATAATTAGGAGAGGAGAGGGAGGGCGACTTAATAGAGAGAGGGCTCATTAACTTTCTTCCCCTGAAAAGGGAGGGGGAGTGGTATTAGAGGGACGGGGCTTATTTGAGAGGAGGGGCTTAATAGAGGGATTACGGTACTTCAATAAAATTAATACCCTCCATTACTTCTATAGGAAACATATAGGCTGGGGCAACAAATGAGAATCTGAATTGTGATAGCAGGATTTAAAGGGTTATGAGATACAATCATGTATTAGTGTGGTTCTCACCTCACCATGAACTGCCTTACACAAGCAACAGAATTTACACTTGTAGCAGAACCACGAAGAGCTGTCCAACAAGGGGCAAGAATCTTTGAAAAGGTTCAGACACAACTTGTGAGCTAGACAGAAGGAAGAGCAAGTTAAGAGCAAGGAGAAAGAGTTAATAATAATGTGGTCAAAATTCAAAGTAAAGTGCTATTAACAGCACTGGAAGACCACCCTCTGTTTGTGTGGCAGTTGTTGTTATTGAAATCTGAACATCTATTTTTTTTTACTCAATAGAAGAAATACAGACAAATATTATGGTGGCTACATGTTGCGGGTCAAAATATTATTATACAGCTGTAATTATACAGGTTAAAATTTTTTAACCTAGGTTGACTCTCAATTTCCCTTGTTTCCTACACTGTAGCTCTAATTTTATGAGACAAAGGAAATAGAAAATAAACCTAGCTTTAAAAAATTTAACATGAATTAAATTTTGTTCTGTAACAGCTACAATTACAATGTAGTATGTATTCACTCCCGACCAAAATGACATAAATTATTTATATTTAAACCTAAATGTTTTAATAGAAGTACAAGGGAAATGTTAAGTTAGTTATGTGCCTTTTTTAGGATCGCTTTTCTCTGTAAATTTTGGAAGGATTGAGCAGATAGGTAGTTTGAATGGGACTGCAGTATTAATGATCTACTAACCAACAGCAGAGCATTTTGAACATTGTAACAACTCTGTAGTTACTTCATCCTCAAATCCATGACACACATAGCACTTTTTTATGTCCTCTGGAGTGCTATTTGTGATTAACCTAGACGACCTCCTTTTCCCTGAAAACCAAAAACCAAAACAAAATAAACAAGTTATTATACTTAAGAAAGAAAGGAGAAAGAGAAATAACAAATAGTTTGACTTAGAGTTTATGTTGATGATAAAGCTACCTTGAAAAATTAAATTATGAATTTATCATTTTTGTGTTTACAGTTTCTGAAGAAAATGAAACACTTTGCAGTCACGTCATGTCCATAATAATGTCCATAAGTAAGAAAAGTGATAATTCTGAACACCACATACAAAATACTGTGTGATTCAATTTGTAAACAAGGAGAGTGGATAATGCCCTAGTTGTTGCTAATCATCATATCAATTAATTTTATCTAAACCAGCGTGCAAAGAAAGTAGTGTCTGATAGCCAAGAGCTAGTGGATTTTGCCATCGGGCTAGTGAATTCTGTTCTTAACTTGCCTGATGGGCAAACGAAGTTTTCAGAGTAATTCAAATTACAGAAGAACTGTGAAATCAATTCTGCTCATCAAAATGTTTTTTGGGCTAGTTGAAATGATGTTTGGGCAAATAAAGTGTTAGCTTCAGCTTACCCAAATGGCAAGCTTTAAAAATGGCTTTCTTTGCACCCTGTAGTCAAAAGGAACTTTGCTAAAAAGGGGTAATTGAGGTCATCTGTGTGCTACATACAGCTGTAACTCAAAGGCGAAGTGTGACCTGTTGGTCAGAAAAATAATAAAAAAATTGTGACCTGTTGCATACAAAAATGACCCTGCATCCCAGAGATAAAAAAATTTATGTACTGTATACATGTACTAGTAGTTTATACTTCCATAATAAAGACACCTCAGTGACGCAGACACTTGGCTCTGTCCCTTTGGTGTCCATATTAAGGAGGTTTGACTGTATGGTACATTCATTTTAGCACCTTTTGATGTGTCCAGGGATTTTCTCTGAGGGCGATTTAATGGTCTTTTACTGGGTGAGGAAGGACTTCTGGTTGCTTCACTATTGGTATCAGAGATTTCCACAACATCCACTTCTAATTCTGAATCATCTGAGGAGTCTTCAAGCACCTACAATATTAATCAATAATATTTATTGTGAACAAAAACTAAGTGTTAGGCCTGGTTCAGATGCCACTCCACTCATGTGCCGAACCTAACTGATGAATTACATATGGCAAAAGAGCAGCATCTGAATCAGTTTGGTACAGCACTTTTAGTTTGGTGCGGCAAAAGCGTTTGGTGCATCAAAAGTTCAAACTTAACTTAGGCTTGACACAAGGTGTACCGTCTGAATCAGATGTCACACTAGTGTTGCTCCAAAGTCAGACTTATTCAGTTAGGTTCAGCACATGAAAAGTGTGGCGTCTGAACCAGGCCTTAGTCACACATTGTGTCCACAAAGAAAAGTACTACGTATGCACCTATCAATGGTTTGCCCCAAGAATAGGATCTTTTTTTTTATAAGTATTGTAACAAAAGGTATTTGACTTGGGAATTTGACTCATAATGGAGATCCAAGGGTGGGGAAATTGATATTTGAAAACCTGAAAATGTCAAATTTCCGTGGGTTGCCTCCCTTCTACCACATCCTGGGGCAAACATTACCTAGGATAGTACAGACCTTTAGCTTTGAGGATGAGAACAACTACAGGGACGAGGTTTGACTAAAAGATTTGTAGCATATTCCAAAAAAATAGTCACCCTGGAAAGTCTTTTTTACAAGTTAATGCTGGCAGAATATTAAATACACTCTCAGGTAAACGATCGAATCCTGAATAAGGGCGCGAATTTTAGCACAACTATTTCTCCATTATGGAAGGTCTTCATGTGGTATTTTAGTATCTAACCGACTATATGAAAGGAAAGTCTCTTTACCTTCCGTTTGGGCATGCTTTTGAGGGAGTTGGCAGCGAAAATGAATTACAAACAACTACAAAAATCCACTTTGAATACGAGAGCCGTTGTGGACGCCATCTTGCCAAAATGAGACGACGAGCCTTGTTAACCAGCGGTAAGAGCATGGTAAGACAATTTGTGTTGTTTACATGACGTATGTATGAAATATCAACAAATTCAACATGGCGGAGTTCATGATTGATTGAAATAATGACCATTGTACATGCTTTACATGTAAATCAACAGCAAAAGAGAAAATACTGAACATGTCTACTAAAACTTACTGAATTTCGAAGTGCGTGGTATTATTTTCTGCTCGATTCTGCCCTTGGAAATCTAAACATATTCATCAATTCATCATGGAGGCGTCGAATCTTGAGGAAAGCGACCTGAAAGGAATGGAAGTTTGCAGCTTCGGTGGAACGGAGATGGCGCTCCCGATAGATTTGATTGAACAGGTAAATCATGGTCTGGCGCGAAATAATGCGAAATTAAGCAGATTCATGTAACGAAACACGAATTTATGACACTGTAAAGGTACCATGGCTAGCTGCTGGAAATGTACAATGTATAAGCTTAAACAAACATACATGCACAGATCCAAAATTTTTATCCTTCTTGTTGTAAGAATTAATTATATATATACATGCAGTTCATATCTTCTGAAAAAAAACTTTGCCACCGTAGGCAAATTCTGCTTATTTTAATTGAAATAATATTATGATTGGCTTTTTTACCCTTGACATTTTAGAAAGAAATATTTTTTAAAGTTGTGAGCATGGAGACGTGGAAGAATGTTCTGACTCCAGCAGATAGGAAGCATTTGGAGGTAAGAAGCTCCCTACAGAAATCCTCAGAAGTGCGTGATCACATTGGTGATTTTAATTTACATGTTCTGGCTGCTGGTGGGTCTAATCTGTAGGTCACAGGTCACAGGAACTTGACGAAGTGCAAGCAGCCTTCCCTTGCATGCAAATTTTCATTTTTGCACATGGCAAGCATCACCTTTGTTAGTGTCGTTAGTCTGTTACACAGCTGTTGCATTATCATTGCATGCATTATTTCCACCTGTTATTTCCCTGCTTTTATAGCCTGCACATGTATAACTAACTAAAAGTCATTTTAACAAGCATTACTTGATCAGCAGGAAATCCATCACTGTGCTACACCTTGCCTCAAAACATTTTTTGATACAATATATAATATAAAAATAAATTATTACCAAGTGTCTAGCCTGCATCACAGATGTAATTTAATCTCAGTTAGTAACATTTGCAAAGCAGCATTGATATCCTTGTTCTGGCCACCCAGAGGACTCAATGAATTACTGGAGGTGTGTTGAAATTTCTTTTAATCCTGATTGACAAATCGACAATGGCTTTTTCAACAAGCCAATCATAGCGCGTAGTCAAATCCTGGTACACAGTGAGGAGGCCCAGAACAAGTATTTTGGTGCTGCTTTGCATACAGACTTACATGTAACCAGAGTTTAGTTTCATCTGTGGTGCAGGCTACCATGTGTCAGGATCACAGATGACCACAACTCAGGTAAAAAAAGCAAAATGCCAGTTACATACAGCTGTTAAGGAGTTAGTTAATGATACGCTTACCTCATTTTGATGTCAGCTGTGATCTTTAGACCACTGCACAGCTACAAGTGCAATTAAATGTTGCAGTAACAGTGAAATGTTCATGTATTTCTGGCTAATTGTTGAATTTAAATTGTCTGTTTTGGTAGACATTTCTTCCAGTACTTCCAACTGACTACCCACATGCTCAAGAAGAAAACTTAAGGTGGGTGATATTTTGTAGTAATGTTAAACCTTTTTTGATAGCCACCCAGAATACCAAGGCTAGTGATGGTTGCTTATACAAAAAGGTAAAGCAAAAATTATGATAACACGTGACAGAAATAACTGATTAACTTGAGGTCAACGGTTTGCTGATTTTATCTCCCTCTCTCAATCAATGCTCTGTTGTACATGTAAGCTAAGGGTATTTAAAGCTAGTCGAAGCTACACAGAAAGAAGAGAAGTGGAAACAGGGATGTAATTTCACCAGGGATTGAACTCGGGACCTCACGCACTACTGAAGGCCGCACGCTAACCAACTACCCACCCCTGCTCCATATAGATAATGGGGAACTCGTTTTCTTTTAAAGGGTCAAACCTGGGGCTTTCTTCCAGGAGCAAGTGTGAAAATTAATCTCACCGCTCCAAGAGAATTTATTATGTGGAGCTTTTGAGTTACACTACACAATAATGTGTGAAGTGTCATGTGGTCAATATTATTGCTTCAACTATTAATAATGGCCAAAGAAAAAAAAATTCACCAAAAAAAGTAAATCAAATTTGCTTTGTAAAATCCTAATAAACATAATTATTCATGTACATAATTATAGTACTCAATGGCAGATCCAGACCTTCAGATAAGGGGGGGCCTGGTCTCAAAAAACTTTTTTTTCGGCCCTTTGCAGCATGCAAGGAAAGTAGTGTCCGATAGCCCGGGGCTAGAGGACTTGGCTATCGGGCTAGTGAATTCTGTTTTTAACTTACCCGATGGGCAAGTGAAGTTTTAGAGGAATTCAAATAACAGAAGAACTGTGAAATCAATTCTGCTCGTCAAAAAGCTTCTGGGGCCTCGATTTGGTCCAAAAATAAGAGGGCGGGGAGGGGACTCCCCAGGCCCCTCCCCAGGATCCACCACTGGCACTTTGTAAAGGAACTGCCAAAGAGGTTTCATTTGAAGGGTAACACCATAGGATTTTGTCCACAAATGTTGAAGTTAGTGAAGAGTGACAAGTCATCAAGTACCATGAGCTGTAACGACACACATGCATGGAGATTCCACTGTAGTCATTTACATACAACGATGCAAAACGTTATCCCTCCAAGTACCATGTTCCGAAAAAGTCTGCTTTTTTCCCTTTGGATTAAAAAGAAATTTTAAGAAAGATACTTTCGAACCTTGTTGATACAGTCAGTTATTCTACTTGTGTTTGATATTTTCCTTAGTAGTTTGCTGTGGGTTAGGCCCAACATGATCCAGACCTAATGCCAGTGATCACAACAAAATCTCTTGTTCTTGCTCACATTTAGCATTAGGTTATGTTCTTGAAGTAGTAGGGCCTCAGTGAAGTTTTGAGAGGCAAATAGCTTAAATTGTAATGTTTGTTTCTTCCATTTTTATTTTGATGTAACTAGTGCATTGTTCAGTGGTGAAAACTTCAGGTTTGGAAACCCAGTTCAAAAATTTCAGCAAGAGTTAAAAGGTGTGTGCTACATTAATTAATTTTGTGATCTTTCATGGGAGACATTACATTACTGTTATCATTGTTGTTCCCCCACCTGGACCAATATTGAACCTCGGCCAAGATGGGGCAGCATAACCAGCATGCTAATTTATTTTGGTTAAATAGGTAAAAAAAAATTAATTGAGCTTCAGTGTAAGGCTGATGTAAAACTGGCAAATAAGTGAGGCAAAGACTAAATTGACCAATCATACATGATTTGTGGCAGATGCTATCTCTAAAAGGTTTATGTTCGAGGGCAACACATTTACAACAGTACTGTAATTGCTACTAAGTATAGACGTGTTTAATGTACGTGTACAGCCACACATGCATGGTTTGAGCCTTTCTATGAATATCTTTGAAATAGTACTGTTTAAAGTGGCTAGGCCATACATTTACTTTTATTATCAATTCACTCTGTCCCAGGGTGTTAACTTTCCTGTCTCTGCAATTTTCACTCTAGCTTGAAAAATTTAAACCATTTTAAAAAATTCAAACCAAAGAAGAGATTTGAACTACAACATATACATGACTGAAAAACAAGTAGGTAATATTAAGTAATATTAAACAACCTGCATTTGGAAGACCTGATTGGTGTCCCTGGTCATTTTAAAAATATAATATTTTGTTGAGCTTGAAACTTGCTCCATTTGTTACGTATAATTTTTAACTACATAGCATGTACACCACTGTGCATAATGGTTGCTCTTTTCCTGTGTCATTATGTACAGATGGTTACTTCTACCCAGATGTAGTAAAATACAAAAAGTTGTGTCGGAAAGCAAAATACAAAGAGTACAAGGTATGTACTGTCTTCAGGTCTAAGATTTGCTTGATTGCAGAGGCATGGGTCTCATAAATTGAGACCAAGACACATGCT